ACAATGGAATATTACTCAGCCACAAAAAAGAATGGAATCTTGCCATTTGTGATAACATGGATGGACCTAGGAGGTATTAGACTAAGTGAAATAAGTCAGAGAAAGACAAATGCCATATGATTTCACTTATACGTGGAATCTAAAAAATAAAATGAAACAGAAACAAAGTCATAGATACAGAGAACAAATTGATGGTTGCCAGATGGGAGGGAAGTTGAGGGGCTGGGTGAAAAAGGTAAAGGGATTAAGAAGTACAAATTGCCAGTTATAAAAACCGTGAAGGGGATATAGAATACAGCATAGAGAATGTAGTCAATAATATGGTAATAATTATGTATGTGCCAGGTGGGTACTAGACTTATCAGGGGGATCACTTTATAAGGTATATAAATGTGTTATCACTATGCTGTACACCTAAAATTAATATTGACTGTCAACTGTAATTGAAAAAAAAAAGTCAGATATGTTATGAAAGGACCTATATTTTCTCTGCATGTCAGAGCTGCAATCAGACTATAAGGAAAAGACCAACAGGGTAGTCAGGGAGGGGCCCCTGGAGGAGGCAGGACCTTCCCTGCGTCTCAGAGCTCCACTTCTTGAGGTGTGGTTCTCCCACTACCTGCAGCACAGACTCCGGGCTTTAACAAGCACCCCCAGGGCTTCTGTGATACCCTGAGGCCTGAGAACCCCTGGCTTAAAAGATGGGTTAGGGTCTGCATAGACAGAAAGGGTGAGTGCAGGTGGGGGATGGGGAGGTGAGTCAGTCTGGCTGGCTGGGGTCTCAGGGGCCCTAATTACCAGGCTAGGCGCATCAACCCTTGTTTGGAATGTAAGGCCTATGTGAAATGTTGGAGCCCCCTCCCCTACGTGGTCCCAAAGTCATATATTTCAAAAAGCTTCAGAAAAATGTCAGGAGGGATTTATAGCACAAGGCTAACAACAAACAAACAAACATACAAAACACCCTGAGTGGGCAGTCTGTGCGTCTCGCTATCTGCTGCTGGGACAGCCAGTCCCCTCATCCCTCCTGAGTGCACCCCCACATCATTTGTAAGTCTGAAGATGTGCACTTTGCACAGGAACGGCTTGTGCAAAATTAGAGTGCGTGAATACTGACAGAGCCATCATAATTCTGCTCCTGTCAGCCACACAAATATTAACCAAACAGCAAATATTTGGATCATTTAAAGTTTAATTAAATGAGTGTTTTATTGGATTTAATTCACGTCAATATTCCCCAGCTCCTTTTAAAATTCTGAAGAGATTTATGGCAACGGAACCTCTCCTCACTCCCAGTTATTTACTGTTCAACATGCCTCCCCCTGGCAGGCTCCACTTCCCTGCTAAGTGACTTCCCAGGGTGATTTACAGGCAAGTGAAAAATGAGGCAGCAGCACGGGCTGGGGCTCCAGTGAGCAGGGCAGAGGCCAGACTGTGGCTCTGGACACGTGGCCTTTAGGCCTGGCTTTGCTGGTGACATGCCAAGTGGCCTTGGGCAGGTCCCTTCCTGTCCCTGGGCCTCAGTTTAGACATCTAT